AGTAGCTGGAATTACAGGCATGCACTACCACGCCCGGCTGATTTTTTGATTTATTGTAGAGATGAGGTCTCGCTGCCCAGGCGAGTCTCGAACCCGCGGGCTCAGGCAATCCACTCACCTCAGCCTCCCAAAGGCGCGGGATTACAGGCTGAGCCACCGAGCCCGGCTACCACTTATTTGTAATAGAAGCTCAAACGGACTAAGAGAACCTGAGTTGACAATTATCCAGAACTGTAAATTAACAAATTATGATGCTATTAACACTTCTAGTCCCAAGACTAATTATTTTCAGTCTCATGTTTTGGAATCAACAAAAAGCCCTATAGTAAAACTGAGAATCTGAGATGATCTTTGCAACTGTAATCTGCTACTCCTCAGGATTACTGGCTCTTGAATAAAACCTATTTTTCCTTGATTTTTAGATGATGGGCACCTGGACCTGGGTCCAGTTACAGGTACACAACTTTGAATATACTATAAGTCATTGAATTGTACACTTTTAATGGGTGAGTGTATATTATGTGAATTATATCTCAAAGCTATTAAAAACAAACAGACATCTCTTCTCAAAAGATTTTCCTATTACCTTTTTTCTCTACATCTCATTTGTCCCTCCCTCAAATTCTTTCAATACTGCTATTATCAGTCCTGGCATTTATGGGAAACATTGTAGGAAGGGATTTCTAGTATCAATTGCAATGTAAGAAACCACCCCAAAATCTATTGGCATAAAACAACAACCTTTTTTTTCTTCTCATAAATCTACAATTTGAGCATGGCTCAGCAGGAAGGCTCATATCTGCTCCATGGTGTCAGAATCAATCGATCCCATCCAAAATGTCTCTCACATGGCTGACAGGTTGGTGCTGGCTGTTGGCTGGGAGCTCACTTGGGTTTGAGGGCTAAGGGCCTCTCCATTTTTCTTGAACTTCCTCAAAAAATAAAGCCTGTGTTCTAAAGTGTGCTCTGGAAGGAGAGCCAAGAAGTAGTAGTGCCTTTCAGTGGAATAGCTTTGGGAGACACTAATATCATTACCACTGTTGAGGGGGCCAGAAAGACCCACCCAGTTTCAAGCAGAGAGGATGTAGACTCTACCTCTTCATGGAACAGCAACAAGGTTCTGGAAGAGTTTGGGGGTCCAGAAATATTGTTGTGGTCATGTTTGGAAAATACAATTTACCACAGGTGCACTACTCTGATATACCACTCAAGATATACTCAGCAGTAAGCAAGTGAAAAACATCTAAACGTTGGCTTAAGGCACCATGGCATTTATTGTTTATTAATAAGTCCATAAATCAGCAGTTCCAGGTTGATTCAGTGGTTCAACAATGTCTATTTCATCTTTCCCCTCCCATCATACTCAGTATGTTGGCTTTTCATACTTGTGTTTGTTGCCTCACAGTTGCAAAATTGCTACCACACCTCCAGGTGTCATATCCATAACCCAACTCCATCCAAAGCAGGAAACAAAAATGGCTGTTTGGCTCTGTACCTCTTTCTAATAGGGAGAGAAACCCTTCCCATAAGCACCCAGCAGATACCCTTTGATCTCATTGCCCACATCAGGGTCATATGCACATTCCTTGACCGATCATTGGCAAAAGATAATTACTTTTTTTTTTTTTGAGTTGGAGTCTCACTCTGTCGCCCAGACTGGAGTGCAGTGGCCGCTCCTGGCCACCGCAACCTCGACCTGCTGGGCTCTGGCGATCCTCCCGCCTCAGCCTTCCAAGTAGCCGGAATTACAGGCGCATGCTACCACGCCCAGCTAATTTTTTGATTTATTGTAGAGATGAGGTCTCGCTGCCCAGGCGGGTCTCGAACCCGCGGGCTCAGGCAATCCACTCACCTCAGCCTCCCAAAGGCGTGGGATTACAGGCTGAGCCACCGAGCCCGGCTTTTTGA